GCCCGGTCAGCGCTTCCGGGTGCGGCCTGCTTAATGCGCATGCGCAGGGAGAGAGGTAGAGCGCCGAGCGCGTGGATGCAAGGTGCTCTGCCGAGTGCCGAGCGCGTCGGCGCCCCGCCCCTCACCTCTTGTGGACCAATCAGATTTCGGCAGAGCTTTAGCCCGCCTTTGATTGACAGCAAAATGAATCAATAGGATGCGCCGTAGCAATGATTGACAGCCCGCACAGCCAATCAGAGCGCGTTTATTGTTGTATGTACAAAGTAAAGCGAAGCAGGCGGCGGCTCCACAGCGAGAATTCCCAAAATTTTTTTAAAATTCCCAAATTCCCGCCGGGATTTAAGGAAAAAAAATAGGGGGAGGGGTCGTACCTGTCCCGGGGGAGGGGAAACTGAGGCACGGAGTGGTTCCAGAGAGAAAAAATTCCTCAAATTCCCAAAATTCCCGCCGGGATTTTTTTGTACCTTCCGCAGGGAAACTGAGGCACGGAGCGGGCGCGCTAAAAATTCCCAAAATTCCTGGAATTCTGGGGGTGGTACCGTGATCCGAGGGGAAACTGAGGCACGGGAGGATTCCCGAGGGGAAAATCCCCAAAATTCCCAAATTCCTGGAATTTTGGGGGATTTTTTTGTACCTTTCAGAGGTAAACTGAGGCACGGAGTGGTTCCACAGGAAAATCCCCAAAATTCCTGGAATTTTGGGGGGTTCTATCCCAATTTTTGGGAGGTCGATCGAGGCATGAAAATTCCCAAAATTCCCCAAAATTCCTGGGATTTTTTGGGGTTCTGCGCTGATTTTTGGGGAAAAATCCCAAAATTTTCAGGGGAAATTCCCGAAATTCTTTGGATTTTTGAGGGTCCTACCCCGATTTTTTTTTTTTTGGAAAGAATTCCACAGGAAAATCCCCAAAATCCCTGAAATTTTGGGGGGAAAAGGATTGAATCCATGGGAAAATTCCCAAAATTCTTGGAAATTTTTAGGGAAAAAGGATTGAACCCATGGGAAAATTCCCCAGATTTCTGGAAATTTTGGGGTTTCTGTCCCAAATTTTTTGGGGAAAAAAGGATTGAATCCATAGAAAATTTCCCGAATTCCTGGAACTTTTGGGGGAAAAGGATTGAATCCATGGGAAAATTCCCAAAATTCTTGGAAATTTTAGGGGGCAAAGGATTGAATCAATGGGAAAATTCCCAAAAATCCTGAAATTTTAGGGGGAAAAGGATTGAATCCATGGGAAAAGTCCCCAAATTCCTGGAATTTTGAGGCTTATATCCGAAATTTCTTTGGGAAACAAAGGTGGAACCCACAGGAAAATTCCCAAAAATTTCAGGATTTTGGCCAATGGGAAACTGAGGGGACAATTCCAGCCCCAAAAACCCCCAAAATTCCCCAATTCCCAAGGGAATTTCACCGGGATTTTTGCGTTTTTCTGGGAAATGGACACCCAGGGAGTGGAAATTCCACGGAAAATTCCAGAATTTTACCCCAAACTCTGGTTTTTGGCCCTGAACTGCAGGCGCTCGAGCAGGTCCTGGGGCAATTCCTCAAATTCCTGGGGTTGGGGCTGGTTTGGGGGAAATCCCTGGGATTTCGGTGAAAATTGTTGGGATTGGCAGGCCGAAGTCGAACCACTGCAGGTTGCGGGCGTAGTGGTTGCCGCGCTCGCCCGGGCGGAAGAAGCGCGAGGGCGAGGCCAGGAAGGCCGAGAGCGACGGAGAGCTCCGGAAGGCCGGGGCCGCCGCGCGGAAATACGAGAAGGACGACTCGGCCACCGCGCCCGGGTCCCGCACGATGGAGAAGTAGAACGAGTCGTTGGGCATCACCCGCTGCACCTGCGGGGGGTTGGGAAGGTTAGGAATTTTTTGGGAATTTTTTAGGAATTTTTTTTTCCATTTTTTCCACATTTTCCCCATTTTTTCTGATTTTTTGGGGATTTTTTGCGATGTTTTTCCGATTTTTTAGTGAGTTTTTAAGGATTTTAGGAGGGATTTTTGAGCAGTTTTAGGGAGAATTTTTGGGAATTTTTTGACAAAGGCCGGGGCCGCCGCGCGGAAATACGAGAAGGACGACTCGGCCACCGCGCCCGGGTCCCGCACGATGGAGAAGTAGAACGAGTCGTTGGGCATCACCCGCTGCACCTGCGGGGGGTTGGGAAGGTTAGGAATTTTTTGGGAATTTTTTAGGAATTTTTTTTTCCATTTTTTCCACATTTTCCCCATTTTTTCTGATTTTTTGGGGATTTTTTGCGATGTTTTTGTGGCAGATGATGTCGAATTTCCTCCCCCCGGGGCGGAAGCCGCGCACGCGCTCGGCGCGGAAGGGGGCGGGGTAGCCGAACTGGTAGCGGTGGGGGAGGGCGAAGCGCAGCTGTCGCGACTCGCCGTATCGCGACAGGAGGTTCAGCACGCTGCTGCCGCCCGTCTTGTGCGTCTTCAGGAACACCACGTGCGAGCGCGGCCGGCACGGCGCCAGCGGGGCCGCCCTGCGGGCCGGTCGCGATATGTGAGGGGGAAATCCCGCTGAAATCGCGATATTCAGCCCCAAAATCATCAGAAATCCCGCTGAAACCGCGATATTCAGCCCCAAAATCATCAGAAATCCCGCTGAAACCGCGATATTCAGCCCCAAAATCATCAGAAATCCCCTTGAAATCGCGATATTTAGCCCTAAAACCCCGCTGAAATCGCGATATTGAGCCCCAAAATCCCACTTAAATTGTGATATTTAGCCCTGAAATCGCGATATTTAGCCCCAAAATCCCGCTGAAATCGTGATATTTAGCCCTGAAATTGTGATATTTAGCCCCAACATCCCGCTGAAATCGTGATATTTAGCCCTGAAATTGTGATATTTAGCCCCAAAATCCCGCTGAAATCGCGATATTTAGCCCTAAAATCCCGCTGAAATCGCGATATTTAGCCCCAAAATCATCAGAAATCCCGCTGAAACCGCGATATTTAGCCCCCAAATACTGCTGAAATCGTGATATTTAGCCCTGAAATTGTGATATTTAGCCCCAAAATCCCGCTGAAATCGTGATATTTAGCCCTGAAATTGCGATATTTAGCCCAAAAAACCCACTTAAATTGCAATGTTTAGTCCCAAAATCATCAGAAATCCTGCTGAAATCGCGATATTTAGCCCCAAAATCCCAATTAAATCCTGATATTTAACCCTAAAAAAAAAAAAAAATCCCACTGAAATCGGGATATTTAGCCCCAAAATCACCAAAAATCCTGCTGAAATCGCGATATTTAGCCCCAAAATCATCAAAAATCCCGCTGAAATCGCGATATTTGGACCCAAAATCCCGCTGAAGTTGCGATATTTAGCCCTTAAATCCCGATATTCAGCCCCAAAATCATCACAAATCCCCCTGAAATCGTGATATTTAGACCCAAAATCCTGCTTAAATCACGATATTCAGCCCCAAAATCCCACTTAAATTGCGATATTTAGCCCTAAAATCCTGATGAAATCACGATATTTAGCCCCAAAATCATCAAAAATCCCGCTGAAATCGCGATATTTGGACCCAAAATCCCGCTGAAGTTGCGATATTTAGCCCTTAAATCCCGATATTCAGCCCCAAAATCATCACAAATCCCCCTGAAATCGTGATATTTAGACCCAAAATCCTGCTTAAATCACGATATTCAGCCCCAAAATCCCACTTAAATTGCGATATTTAGCCCTAAAATCCTGATGAAATCACGATATTTAGCCCCAAAATCATCAAAAATCCCGCTGAAATCGCGATATTTTGCCCCAAAATCCCACTGAAATCGCGATATTTGGACCCAAAATCCCACTTAAATTGCGATATTTAGCCCCAAAATCCCGCTGAAATCGCGATATTTAGCCCCAAAATCATCAAAAATCCCTTTGAGATCACGATATTTAGCCCCAAAATCATCAAAAATCCCACTTAAATCACGATATTTATCCCCAAAATCCCACTTAAATCGTGATATTTAGCCCCAAAATCCCACTTAAATCGCGATATTTAGCCCCAAAATCCTGGGGTTTGCCCCCAAAATCTTGGGATTTCCCCTCTAAATTCTGGTATTTCACATCCCAACCTCGACATCGCACACGAATATCGCGATATTCGTCCCTAAATCGCGATATTTCCCCCCAAAATCCCGATATTTCCCCTCACAAATCCTTGTGGGAGCAGGGCCGGCCGAATTTTGGGATTTTCACGGAAATTTTGGGGTTTCCTCTGGGATTTTCCCCGGAATTTTGGGATTTTCCCAGGAAATTTTGGGACATTCCCCTGGAATTTCAGGATTTCCCCAGAGATTCCCCTGGAATTTTGGATTTCCTCAGGAATTTCAGGATTTCCCCTGGAATTTCGGGATTTTCCCAGGAATTTTGGGGTTTTTCCCTGGGAATTTTGGGGTTTCCCTGGGAATTTTGGGGTTTCCCCTGAGATTTTCCCAGGAATTTCGGGATCGCCTCATGGATTTTCCCAGAATTTTTGGGTTTCCCCCAGAATTTCGGGATTTCCCCTGGGAATTTCGGGATTCCCTCCAGAATTTTGGGGTTTCCCCAGGAATTTTGGGGTTTTCCCCAGAATTTCAGGATTTCCCCAGAAATTTTGGGATTTCCCTTGGAATTTCGCGATTTCCCCGGGAATTTTGAGGTTTCCCCCGGAATTTCAGGGTCCCCCGCGGGATTTGGGGTTCCCCTCGGATTTGGGTCTCCCCCGCCCAGGGGTTTTGGGGTCCCCCACCCGGGGGTTTTGGGGTCTCCGTGTGGGCTTGGGGTCCCCCCCGTGGGATTTGGGGTCTCCCCGGGATTTGGGGTCCCCGCTGGGGTTTTGGGGTCTCACCTGCGGCGGAGGGGCCCCCCTGGAGGATTTGGGGTCCCCCCCGGGTTTTGGGGTCTCACCTGCGGCGGAGGGGCCCCCCGGAAGGATTTGGGGTCCCCCCCGGGTTTTGGGGTCCCACCTGCGGCGCAGGGGCCCCCCCAGGAGCCCCAGGGTGAAGCCCAGGGTGACGCAGACGCCCAGGGCGGCCCCGAGGGGGGACAGGCGGCGGCAGCCGGGGGGGGGCTTCATCCTGGGGAGGGGACGCTGGGGACGGGGGGACACGGGGGTCACCCCAAAACCGGGCACGGGACCGGGACGAGCCCCGGTGCCTCCAAACCCCAGTTTGGGACCACAAATCCCAGTGCCAATGTCACCAAACCCCAGTTTGGGACCCCAAATCCCAGTCCCTGTCCCCAAATTCCAATTTGGGACCTCAAATCCCAGTCCCTGTGTCCCCAGATCCCAGTCCCGATGTCCCCAAATTCCAATTTGGGACCTCAAATCCCAGTCCTTGTGTCCCCAAATCCCAGTCCCTGTCCCCCAGTCCCAGTCCCGGACCCCAAATCCCAGTCCCTGTCCCCAATGCAAATCCCAGTGTCACCAAATCCCACTCCCTGTGTCCCAAAATCCCAGTCCTGGATCCCAAATCCCAGTCCCAGTGTCCCCAGATCCCAGTCCCTGTCCCCAGTCCCAGTCCCGGTCCCGGATCCCCAAACCCCAGTCCCAATGTCCCCAGATCCCAGTCCCTGTCCCCAGTCCCAGTCCCCGATCCCCAAATCCCGTTCCGGGGAATGGGATTTGGGATCGGGAATAGGATCGGAACGGCCCCGACGGGCGGAGTGGGATTTGGGATTTGGATCGGGAATGGGACTGGGGTTTGGGATTTGGGACGGGAACGGGGCGGGGAATGGGAGCAGGATTTGGGATTTGGGAATGGGATTTAGGGCCAGGAATGGGATCCAGCCCCTTCCAGACTTCCTCAGACCCCCCAAAACCCCCAAATCCCCACAGAATTCCCAAATTTTGGGGTTTTTAGGGATCCCCAGTCCATAGGGAACCCCTAAGCTACAGGGGACCCCCATCCCCCAGTCCTCTACAACACCCCCAGCACCCTACAGACCCCTCAAACCCCAAATTCCCCACAGAATTCCCAAATTTTGGGGTTTTTAGGGATCCCCAGTCCATAGGGAACCCCTAAGCTACAGGGGACCCCCATCCCCCAGTCCTCTACAACACCCCCAGCACCCTACAGACCCCTCAAACCCCAAATTCCCCACAGAATTCCCAAATTTTGGGCTTTTTTGGGAATTCCCCCCTCCCGGAACGGCCCCGCCGCGGTTTTAGCGCCACGAGCCACGTGACAGGCGAAACCACGCCCACTATACCATAACGTCACGCCCATTTAGGCCACGTGACCGCGTGTAGCCACGCCCACGGAGGGTAGGGCACGTGCCGCGCGCCATTTTCTTTTGGTGCGAAGCGAGGCAGGCGTGAGGTGGCGGGGGGGTTTGGTGGGGGTTTTCTGAGGGAATTTTTTTTTTTTCGGGATTTTCAGCTCCGCAAAGGTGAGGGAAGGGCACAGGGGGTTCGCAGGTTCCTTGGTGGGGGGGTTTTGGGAGCTGAGAGGTTCTGACCCCGCCCCTCAGTAGGAGCTGAGGGATTTTTATGAGGGGGAGGCTTCACTCCCTTAATTCCAGGGGTTTTTGTGAGGGAGAGGCTTCACCTCCAGCCCTCAAATTGAGGTTTGGGGGGGTCTGAGAGGTCTGGAAAGGTCCCGACCTCCCTTCTTTGAGGGATTTGTGTGTGGGGGCTTCACTCTCCTCATTCCAGGGGGGATTTGCAAGGGAGGGGCTTCACCCCCACTCCTTAAATTGGGGTTTGGGGCATCTGAGAGGCCCAAATCCCCCTTTTTGTGGGATTTGTGAGGGAAAAGCTTCATCCTCACCCCTTGCTTTGGGGTCTGAGAGGCCCCTTGGTGCGATCCAGGGAGGTTTGGGAATTTTTGGAGGGATTTTTCAGGGGTTTGACCCCACAAATGTGAGGCAGGGGCTTCATTCACCCCCCCCAAATTGTGACCTGAGGGGATTTTATGGTCTCACCCCCTCATCTTTTCCTTCTCAGGGAGTTTTGGGATCCTTTTTTTTCCTCTGAGTGAATTTTGGGTGTCCCACCTCTCATTTTTACCTTTTGAGGGAATTTTGGGCTCCCTCTCTTTTTCCTGAGGGAGTTTTGGGAATCCCACCCCTCATTTTTCCCTTTTGAGGGAATTTTGCACTCCGTTTGTTTTCTCTGAGGGAATTTTGAGGCTTCCACCCCTCATTTTTCACTTTTGAGGGAATTTTGTCTCCCTCTGTTTTCTCTGAGGGAATTTTGGGAATCCCACCCCTCTTTTTCACTTTTGAGGGAATTTTGGGCTCTCTCTCCATTCCCTGAGGGAATTTCGGAGCTCCCACCCCTCATTTTTCGCTTTTGAGGGAATTTTGGGAATCCCACCCCTCATTTTTTCCCTTCTGAGGGAATTTTGGGCTCCCTCTCTTTCTCCTGGGGGATTTTTGATGTTTCCACCCCTCATTTTTTGCCTTTTGAGGGAATTTTGTGTCTCTCTCTTTTCTCCTGAGGGAACTTTGTCGCTCCCACCCCCCATTCTCTCCTCTGGGGGGGTCCCAAAATGTTGGGGCTCCCACCCCTCATTTTTCCTTTTTGAGGGAATTTTGGGTTCTCTCTCCATTCCCTGAGGGAATTTTGGGGCTCCCAGCCCTCATTTTTACTTTCTGAGGGAATTTTGTCTCCCTCTCTTTCTCCTGAGGGATTCTTGATGTTTTCACCCCTCATTTTTCACTTTTGAGGGAATTTTGCGCTCCCTCTTTTTCTTCTAAGGGATTTTTTATGTTTCCACCCCTCATTTTTTCCCTTTTGAGGGAATTTTGGGCTCCCTCTGTTTTCCCTGAGGGAATTTTGGGAATCCCACCCCTCATTTTTACTTTCTGAGGGAATTTTGGTCTTCCTCTCATTTGCCTGAGGGATTTTTGATGTTTTTACCTCTCATTTTTTCTCATTTGAGGGAATTTTGGTCTCCCTATCTTTCTTCTGAGGGATTCTTGATGTTTCCACCCCTCATTTTTTACCTTTTGAGGGAATTTTGGGTTCCCGCCTTTTTTCCTGAGGGAACTTTGCCGCTCCCAGCCCCCATTCTCTCCTCTGGGGGGGTCCCAGCCTTGAGAGACCCCCCCCATAATCCCATTTTCTCCTGGTTTTTCCCGTTTTTTCCCTGTTTTTCCCCGTTTCCCAGCCCAGCCATGGCTCTCCGCCGCTCGTCCCGGCTCCGTGCCTCGGGCTCCTCCTCGGGCTCCTCCTCCGGCCCCGCTCCGGGCTCGGCCTCTCGGAGCAGCTCCCCCCACAGCCCGTGAGTTCCTCGCAAATACCCCAAAATCCCTCTAATCCCCCTTTTCCCACTCGTTTCCCCCAAAAATTCCCCTTTCTAGCCCTTTTTTACCACATTTCTCCCATCCCAGCTACTTTTTATCCCATTTTTTTCCTAATTCCAGCCCTATTTTCCCTGGTTTTCCCTATTTTCCTCAGTTTTTTCCCCCATTTCCCCTCTTTTTCTCCATTTTACCTGTATTCTAGCCCCATTTTTCCCCATCCCAACACAATTTCCCCCAGTTTTTTCCCATTTTTTCCTGGTTTCCCCCCCTTTCCCCAGTTTCTCCCCATTTTTCCTACATCCCAGCCCCTTTTTATCCCATTTTACCCAATCCCATCCCATTTTTCCACATTCCAGGTGTTTTCCCCAGTTTCTCTCAGTTTCTCCCCCATTTCTCCCCCTTTTTCTCCATCTTTATCCTATCCCAACCTTTATAAATCCCATTTTTCCCATTTTCACAGCTTTTTTCTGCCCATTTCTCTTTTTTTCTGCCCATTTTCCCCCCTAATTTTCCCCGTTTTTTCCCCGTTCTTCCTAATCCCATTCTATTTTTCCCCCACCCCACCCACCTTTAATCCCATTTTTCCCCTTTCCCGCCCTTTTCCAACCCTCCTTTTCCCACCTCACCCCCGAAATCCCCGTTTTTCCCCCCAAAACCCCCTCAGGGAGTTCCAGGAGGATTCCGACTCCGGCAGCGACTTTGAGGCCTCTCTGCGCCCCCGGAGCAAGCGGGGACCCCCCCGAGGAGCCCCCAGGAGCCTCGTAAGTCCCAAATTCCCCCCAAAATCCCCCTCATTTTGGGCATTTCCACCCATTTTCCCTGATTTTCGTTGATTTTTCCTGATTTTTCCTGATTTTTCCCCGTTTCCCCCTCAGGCCCCAAAGCGCTCCCGCCGCTCCGGTGGGGATGGGAGGGATCTGGAGCAGAATTCCCCGGAGCAGAATTCCCCGGAGCAGAATTCCCTCTTCGAGGCCGTTTTTTCAGGAAAAGCGGCCACGGAGGTAACAAAAAATTGGGAAAATCCCTGAGGGCGTTCCCAGAATTCCCAGGATTTCCCCCAAATTCCTTTTTTCCCTCTCAAATCCCCATTTTTTCCTTGAAATTCTCCTGGTTTTCCTCTTAATTTTCTATTTTTTTCTCAAAATCCTTGTTTTTTTTCCTTGAAACTCTTGGTTTTTTCCTGAAATCCCTGTTTTTCCCCACGAAATTCCCAGTTTTTCCCTGAAATTCTCATTTCTCCCCTGAAGTTGCTTTCTATCTGTGAAATTCTTTTTTTCCCCAGAAATTTGTGTGGTTTTCCCCAAAACTTTCTGGGTTTTTTTCCCTCCTGAAATTCCTGTATTTTCTCTTCAAATTCCTTTTTTTCCTTGCAAAACTCTAAATTTTTTTCCTCTAATGTCTTCGGTTTTCCTCAGAATTCTTTTTTCCCCAAAATGTTCTTTTCTCCT